CCTTGCTAACCGTCTCGACATTGAATAACGCGTGGACGTGGTTATGCACTAATAGTCGACTATTGTCGTATCGGTTACATAACAACTGCCATCTTAGGCAACAAAGAAGTGTGTGTTTACGCTTTATTATAATAGTATAGATAAGTAATAAGTATAGATGAGCAACGCCATGAACATAGCAGCTGTAGAAAATAACCTAGATCAACACAAATCCTACTTTTTTATTCCTCGTGAGCAGAAGCTATTGATTAAGCAATGGCTCGTGAGAGCACACGGAAAGGTTGTTGTCCGAAAGTGTATTCAGAAATATGTAAAACGCTGATGAGATGAAAGCATTGTATTGTGCGGTGTTAACATCGGCGATATACTGCCGATGGCAGCACTCAGACATTATGACACATGATGGATCTAGTGCAGAAGCAGAAGCTTATGATCCAGAAGAAAAACTTTTTTTTTTTATAACGTAAGGTGGCAAACGAGCAAGCGGCCACCTGAATCCGCCAAAATGGCGAAGCAACCGCTGCCCATAGACATCCGTAATCGCAGATGCGTTGCCTACCTTTATCCGACGGAGAAGGAGACGCACATAAAGAGGATATTTCCTCTTCCTATGCATCTCCTCCATCGTCAAATCCACTTCCCCTTCCCATACTCTCATAAGAAAAGGGTGGTAAAGAGAAAGGGACTTAAATTAGGCCTCCGGCACCACACTCATCAGACGAAACATAGAATTGCTTCCATTTCACGCATGTCTTCTGTGTGGTCGTGGTATTACTGGGGGCGTGCCGGCCCTGCAGTGCTAAGATGTTAAAGCGGGCACTACCACTGTCTCATGCATGAAGTTTCAAATATTTAGTCTTTAAATGGATTTGAGAACTCCTACTTTACGAAACTTTCAAATTTTAATAACAAATGTACCAGTGTAAGTAATGTTATAGATATAAATGTCAAAAGTCTGTATTGTTCAATGTATTTCAAAATGCGAGACGTATGTGAAGTCTCGCATTTTTTAATAGTAATACTAAAAAACATCGTTATAAAACTGAACTTGCAGTGTTTGCTCTCCAACAATCTATAACAATGAACAACTAGTAACTTATTTTAAAAAACAGAAAAATAACATATTCGAAATAAACTTAGGGTTGTCCTTAGAAATTAACATAAATTTACTGAAATAAAATAACTAAATAACTCGCTGCCGGCGTTCAATACTCGTGTTTATGAACACTTTATGTCACTCTAGATTTACTTCTATTCTGTAGGTATGTATATACGAGTATATGTATAGTGTATAGTATATATTACTTTTGTCTTTAGTTTATTAAAGTAGTTGTATGTAAGTCGATGTATCGAACGGCTAGTTGTAACTCAATAGGTCGAGTTAAGCTCAACTGTACTACAACCTTTCAATTTGTATTTATAAAATTGTTTTCTGTTGTGTAAGAGGATTAAATAAATAAAATAAAATGAAGTATTGAGATAAACCAAAAAAATAAATTTTAAAATGAAGTTTAACCTGTCTACTATGTTTATATTTTAATAGGTTTTCAACCTTTAAACTAATAAAAGACCACCTCCATCACTTAACTAGAATACGTCGAATAACCAATAACCCTGTATAATACTTTAACTAGCAAAATGTTGAAATCTCTGCACCCCTCGCCCCTCGCCCCGCGCCCCGCACCCCCAGTCGCAGCTCGTTTATATAAAGTATTAATAGGTTTTTTATGGGCGAGCGAGCGCGGGCATTGTTCGCGTCCCGACGTCGACTAGTTAAAGGGATTAGCGCGCACGCGGCCGCTAACCCTTGCCCCGCGCGCAACCCTTGCCGCGCCGCACCGCGCCGCACCTCGCCGCACCGCGCCGCGCTGCGACCAATTGAAAATGCAAATGCACCGCTAATGCGACGCACAGCATGGCCGCCGTCTGCCGCACCCCCACCCCCCTTCAGCTCCAGCACCCCCATATGCTATATAAATTTTCGATCAACCGTTTATTTTTGCTATAACATGAATATGCAAAAAAATAAAGTTTGATCGATTTTCTGCTTGCATTTTCAGTTACCTCATAATAACGAAGAAGGAAGGAAATTCTTGTAAGAACAAAATAAAACTTTACGCTAAAATGTATAATTCAACTGAATTTAAATACAAATATTTGTAACCTAACTGTAAATTATTGAATGTAAGAACTGCCTATTCTTCAATATCAGCATGCTGCATATACATACACATATACACATATACGCTCTGTTTCACAGACTTAAATGAATAGTCCAACTGTTCCGTTGAAACTGTAAGGTAGGAGTTGGCAATACTATAACTGTACAGTTCATCTAACACTTGAAACACTACAACTGATCCTTTACTAAAATGGAAGGGCGATCATAGCAAATGAGCAAGTGACCACCTAAATCCGCCAAAATAGCGAAACGTCTGCGGCTCACAAACATTCGCATCGCAGATGCGTTACCTACCCTTATTCGACGAAAGAGGAGAGCATATTTACCCCTCCAATGATAAGGTGGAAAGGGAATAAAATTATGCATCAGGCACGTACGGTCAGTCAGATGAACCGCGGAATTGCTCCCACATTAAGCCTGTCTTCTGTTAAGGCGAGTTCCACCACTGATGTATGCGCGTGCCCCCGAAAAACCTTCTCCGCTCCGAAGTGAGGCAAGTGGTCGCGAGCGCCTGTGAGTCGTGACAAGGTACGCCAAATTAACTGTAAACTCGTTATTACCTGCCTTCACCCAGCCAAGTACGCCGAGCGTTAGAAAGGCAATGCACATTAACTGTGTATATGTTGCTTTTGGCCTCAACTCGTCAAGCCTCAACCAATATGAATAGCGGGTATTACACGCAAGCCACAATTATGATGTAGCGGCGTAGCTTCGTAGTGCTCCCCGTAGCGGCAAAGTGTCGTAGACAATATGCACGCCGTGTGGCGCAACTCTCACGTGGTCACTCTATTTAACCACGAGTCTCGGTTGCCGAAATCCAGTGTTCGTATATTTATAGAGAAGTCGCTGTGTACCGAACGCCGAAGCCGCGCCGGCTAGCAGCCAGCCCGCCGCGGCGCGACGACACACCGGCTGCTTCCGAGCGGCTTCATAATCTTTTCTTAATATAATAAAGCGTAAACACACTACTTTGTGGCGTAAGATGTCAGCAATTACAGCATATTTTTGAATAATTGTCTCTTCAATAAAAATTCCTACACTTACGTCACGCTTTAGGCTATATATTTTTACGCTATTAAACTTATGGGGTAAATAGATTGCAATGGTTTGTCATCATGTCATGTCATTCTGACATTTGTAATTGATAATTTGACAAATGTAAACATTAAAATAAAGTTTTTGTAATTTGATGCGGATGGAGACGCACGCGAACTACTAGGACTTTTTGAATTCACTGATCATGAGCCCAAAATACTAATGTAGCAGTTCGCTGGACGTGGGGTGGATGCATTAAACAGAACCGAAACATCAAATAAATATGTTAATGGAGCCCGAAGTGTAGCGAGGTGCGTTCAAGTGCGCTCCGTGGTGCTGGGCGCGAGGGGAGGGCTGGGTCAACACGGGGCGCATAACTTGCGCGCAGCACAAAGCCCAGCGAATGTCTTATTCAAAGCGGCAATACCGCGGCGCCTAAACAAACAGGAGCCGCTTTTCCGGAACGCATTTTGCTCGCGAGGACCGAGAGCCGCGCGGACCTGCGCCCCCGCGCCCCCTGTTTACCCGCATTACCATCACAAAGCGGAGAGGCCAGCTCTCGGACTTCACTTAGTATTGAAATTGTAAATTATTGCAAACACTTGCGACCGCGCTGTGGAGTTCATGAAACGGGGCGGCGGGCGACCGGACGTCCGCCACCGCGGAGCCTTTCTTTTCTACTGGGAATAGTTTAATACCAGAATACTTACAACTTACAATTTAAAAGCTTCCATATCATTATCAACGCCGCAAAAATCAAAGAAACCGCAGGCGCATTGCCGTCATGAATGTAAAACTTGATGACACCCTAGAGTAGAGTCTCGCAGTGTTGGGATTACCCTGACATTAGTGTGACCACTCCACTGTTTCAGCTCATCGTGTACTCGTCTCGTCACAACTGTCTACATCACAAACACATTGCGCGATTTGCTCCAACTTTCCGTTTCAAGCTACCAACGAACTTTTTTATAAATCGAAACCGATGTTAGAATTCGCGCATCGTTGCCGAACCCGTCGCTCCCCTTTTACTATTAAAAAAATTAAACAGCTTTTAAACGTACATCGCGTTCGGCGAAAGCGAAAAAAAATACATCTCAGGTAATCGTAATAATGGCGCAGAGCGCGAAAAAAATTCACTAAGGGCGGAAAAAGAAACGGATTCGAACAAAAAAAGGGAATTTTTAATTCGCCACGTGATGGGTGCTCGGGGTTGCGCGGGGCAGGGCACGGGTCGCGGCGGCGCCGGGCCGCAGTCGCGCCGCTCCCGTCGCGCCGAGCGGACCCATTTGATCAGAGCCAACCTTGACAGGCTACGACCGCCGCGAGCGATGGTGCTGTCTGCGTGCGTGCGCGCCGCCGCGAGGCCCTACTGCGCCGACTACCGTGAGTACCGCCGCCACCTCCGCCTCCGCCACCGCCTCCGTCGCCGCGGCCGCCGCTTGTGCTCCTGGCCGCACATTACAGTGATGCTGCCGGCTCGACCGCGACGGAGGCGGAGGCGAGCTTTGCTTACGTCGTTATCTATCACTCACCATCGCATCCAATTGACACTAGCTGTTACTTCCGGTCTTTTTTTAATTTGACATAATATACTTATTGCATACTTAGGTATACAGCTAATTATGCAATCGTGCTTCACCGGCAACTAAGCACTTTGCATAGTTTCCAGGTGTTCCCGGGTTACAATTTAAATTATAGCTTAATTTGAACCCCAACTATACTCAAACAAAACAGGCAAGAGATATGCAAAAAATAGACATTTTACTTTTCTATTCCCTTCGTTGTCTCTTTCTCTCTCTGTTACATCTTTCATAATATAGCGGTGGGTCTGCTTCTGTCATCAAGCTCCTACACCGCACTCCGTCTTCGAGCGCGAAATCTACTCCTGTCACATTGCACTCGTCCATTTCCTACAGCAGTCAACTTTATTGTGGCTCTGCCTCAATCTAGCTCTCAACGATTGCAAAATCCTTTTTCATATTAATAAAAAGAAATCTAAGGCGGTTGGTTTGTTAGCTTTCATTAGTCTTTTTCAAGAATAAAATTTGCCACTGTAAATTACTGTTATTATGTTATTACACTGTAATATTACGCAGTCACGGGAAAATACAGTCGAAAATCTGTTTCATAACATTGAACACTCAGGGATTAAACGATACTTATTGAGGTCCTCCACCTCACAAACAGGTGATCCGTCGTGTATACCGTCCTACAACTTATTCTTCTTGTCAGCGGCTGGGACGTGTTCGTCTCCAGCTCAGCCGTCGCAGCTCACCGACTGCGATCCTCTCACGATGCCGACTTGCTTTAAATCAATTATTGTCTTCATCTGTGCGCCATAAGTAGCTGGCATCAGTTAGGTACAATCCGGACATCCGGCGAGGTTCCACCATAAAAGCTACTGCCATTTGAACTTTTCTTACGTATTGAGACTGAGAGATGGACGCGGAACTTTGAACAACAACACCTGTTGTCTTTAACGTGTCTGGACCAAAAAAGTCGGTCAACGGTACTCGGCTTATAGCTTTTAATTATATTTATTATCTATACTATTATAATGAAGCGAAAACACATTCTTCTTTGTTGCCTAAGATGTCAGCAATTACAGCATATTTTTGAATAATCATTTCTTTAATAAACAGCCCTAAACTTACATCACGCTTTAGGCTATTGTTTACCCCCTTTTGGATAAAAACCCTAATGTGGGAAAGACCATAAGTTGCTGCCAACATCAAGTAAGCAAAATTGCCATGCTTTGTATCATGTCATGTCTTTCATTTTGACATTTGCAATGGAATTTGACAAATGAAATCAATAAACCAATTTTCATAATTTCATGCGAATGAAGTCGCACGGGAACAGCTAGGCTTAATAATAATTATTATCTCCTCGTTCGTATTTTGCAACTAACTGATACCTAATTGGTTATTTGTAGAATGAGGCGAAGCTTGTTTAGTTACAAGAAACTCAGCAGTTTACTGAAAGTATTTCACCACGGTTTACTTTGACTATAGTTTGTCCGTACGTGAATTCCACATTTCTGCTGTTAAAAATGTAAATCGTACGTTTTCTTACATTGATTGTTGATATTAAGCCTTTTTTAGTGTTTCTCCGTTTTTTCGAAGATTTGGGCGTAATTTAAAAAAAAACCAAAATGTTTTATTTTAAATAGAAAACTTAAATATTTATAATATTAATTATAAAATACGACGTAACACGTGAAAACATTCGATGTAAGCACCTACATAGCCTATATACCTAGCTAGGTAATATACGAGTAGTGTATTATCTCACGAAAGTTTTAATAAGTTTGTTTCTGATATTATTGATATCTTACTTCTCATCAAAAAGGTTTGTAATTTAATACAATCAAAGGTATTCGCAGAAGGATTATTCAAACGTCAGATAAAAAACGAACATTTGTTCAATTTTTGTGCTGTTGTAAAAAAATAATCCGAGGAGAGTATCCGCGGGCCTTGGTGGGGGGGGGGCACAAGGGGGCGAAGGCTTGCAGAAAAAGTGACGATGACGATTCAATAAACGTGTGCACTTTTTACATTTTGCGATGCGAGTGCGAGTGCGAGTGCACGAGCGCACAAGGATTAGGCGCGGCGGCGGCGGCGGCGCGGGCAACAGGCGACAGGTAGCGGCCGTAGCATTACTAGTCTATTTTACATCCGTGGTTTCAACACTTTGACGTCGTCATTCTGCTTTGTCACAAAAAACTATGAGTTTTATACTTCTTACTCACCTTAATCCATTCACGCGCAGATGAACTTTGGCTCTGTCTTGACTCAGAATGTATTACGTCACGGAAGACATAATCACCATCACCATCTTCAGTTTTACAGGAACATGATTTTGGTGAGATGTATAAGAGATATTCCGCGGCTATTGTATATATTTATCTTGTGAGATGAGGGTTGTGGTATACGGTTAACTCATGGAGGTAAGGGAGGATAGCTGCAAGTGAAAATCAGTAACTCTAGCCGGCCTATTGAAGTCGTAATATAAGCCCACGACTGTGAGCGTAATGTTTGTGTAGTGGAGATTAGCGTACCCGGCCCTCGCTGCGCCCTCACCACCTCTGATTATCCAATTAATTGTTCCGATAATTACTTAATCTGGTTATGCCGTCCACTTATTTGTGTACACATATACGAGTAGCATCACAGTGCCACGATCCGAAACAATACATTAAAATTATCGTCGTATTTCGTAAGGTCGTAGTGTTGATCGTTAATGTTAGTACCTACAACGCTCTGTTTGTCTGTTGCAGAGGAGTCCGGTGACCTCATCAAGTCGCCATCGCCGCCGCCTAGCCACGGTGAGTGCTTCACCTCCACCCTTCCCGCACCCTCCACCTGAGGTAATCTTATACACCTTTGTCTGTACAAGGTTACCTCAGTCAAACGAAATTTTAATTTCATCAAATTAAATAAAAAAATCGATTGCATGTAATTAGAAATCAATCACTATACGCACGTCATTATACGTGAATGGTTGGCGCACACGTGGAGCGCGCAGAGTGCCACCGAGCTCGGTAAACCCTCGCGGGCCGCCGCAGCCAGCCGCCGCGGCCCGCACGCGACGCACGCGCCGCACGCGCCGCACGCGCCGCGCAAAAAACTCGCAACCCTTCTACGATACACTTCAAATAAAATGATCACATACAAGAACGTGTTTGTCGTTTGACGAGCGCGTCCCGCCCCGCGCCCGGTGCATTAGACGCCGCACGCTGCCTAGCACCCAACACTTGCTTCTCGACGGCATTCGCTGCAAATCAATCTAGTTTGCAACCGAAATTTCTTCTTCTAAAATATTAATTATTGATTACTATTAGGATACTCGTTTTTGTTGATTTCATACATTGCCCTTAACGTATAGAAATAAAATATTTTATTTATTTATTACATGGTACATGTAAAAATATGTTTAAAAAGTGTCTTACTAAACTCTCCCTACCCCATAGTTTCACTGTAAGATCTCAAAAGTAATTTCCAACTGTAGGTACATACATAAAAAGTATTAATTAATGTTGAAAATAGAGTATGTAGAGTTGAAGGTATCTTTTAAACGTGTCATTCTTTTTTATATTTTAAATACGTTTTTTCATTCCTTATCACATTTTGAGATATTTAAAGAATAGATAAAACTACATTTACGTACGAGTAAGAAGAACCCTCTATTGCTCTTTTCTATACTAATAGCATAAAGAGAAAAACTTTGTTTGATTGTAATGAATAGGCTCACAAACTACTCGGCCGATTTTAAGAATCCTTTACCGTTAGAAAGGTGATTTATCTGCGAGTAACATAGGCTATATTTTTTCATTTCTTTATTATTATTTTTAAATTTCATTCGGACGGACTCGCGGGCAAAGCTAGTAGGTACAAAAAAAGGTTTTTTCGAGATAGTTTTTGTTTTTTCGAGAATGTTGTGTACTTAAATCTGACAAATAATCGGGCGGCGTCGGGCGGCATCGGGCGGCGTCGGGCGGCGTCGGGCGGCGGCGGGCGCGCATTTACATGTAATATCCGGTACGTCATTGTGGGGTCGCCGCGCTCGCACTATTTCATCACTATTCATCATGTTGTCTATCAGAATAATGCATTATAGGAGCAAATATGGAGCGTCCGGAAATTACGGATACGTTGTACGATCATACGGCCAAATACTGAAACGTATCTTGAATAATTTGTTTCGTAAGCGTCCCTAACAATCTGTTGTGACGAAATGATGTTTCATTATCCGGCCTTTGCTCGAAAATATTATCATTCAACTTAAGTTAAATAGATCCATTGATACTCACATTGTGCATAGAGCGCTTCAAAAACGATAACTGTAACTGTTTTAATCCGGTTTAAACAAATACAAATCGAAAACATTGTTATTAGTGGCGCGTGAAGCACGATCCAGCGCGACGGAAACAAAACATTTAATTGCAAGCCGATACGAATTATCTTCTCCAAAGAGTCGACATGTTTCCGCGATACGATTTTTTCATAAATATATTCCAATAACTATCCTTACATATAATATGACAATATCACCTGACTGCTCCTCGCAATTTTCAAAAGAAAAAACTGTTGCTATTAAACGTGATATTTTTTATTTTCTTTTCTCCTGAATTGTGGCATCGGACTGTATCGAGGTACACATATTATATACATATATGATAAATGTATGATGCTGGTGCTTGCAGACGGCTCGGCGAGCGGCGAGGGCAGCGGCGACGAGCGCCCGCCCTCCGCGCACTCGCCGCCCCGCGCGCCGCCCCGCGCGCTGCCGCCCGCCAGCGTGGCCGCCACCGCCGCCGTTCTGGTACTTGCTTCTCTTAATGTAGAGTCGGCAAGAGCGCAGTGATTCTAATCAATGCCACAAAACTTATTTTGTGGGATACAATTGATTGTGTGGACAGATATTGCTAAGATAATGTGTTACTACTGACAATAGCATACTACAATGTATTTTATGTCTCCTTAACAACACAATATACATTGTATTAAAATTTTCTTGTCATATATTGCTCTTCTTTATCGATCTCCTTATTTAGTCAAAGTCAGGCGAGGTACATATGTATAATTCCCTCGGTGCTGGGCACATTCGTCAGTGTGTATCCTTCACTTAACGTTTAGTACTTGATGAGTCGGTACTCGTTTGATCCTTTAATCAATGAAACTAATCGCTGTGTCTGTGTGTGTGCGCGGCGCAGAGTGCGGTGCAGAGTGCAGCGCAGAGTGCGGCGCAGTGCGCGGCGCAGAGTGCGCCGGGCGCGGGGGGTGCCGGGGGCGCACTGGCGCAGCT